GAGGCTGTGCCGTTGTCTTGGGGTGCTCCTGGGAGCACCTCTGGAGTTTCCATGTGTGACAGGGATGACCATGTGCATAAGAAACTATTTTAAAGAAACAAGAAAAACAAAGAAATAGAAATTAAACAGTATCCATTACTCTGTTCAGAAGTATTTCAAGTCCTCTCAACTTCTTGGTGAGGCAACTGCTGGACTATCTGGTTGCAGCTTCCCCACGTCCTCCAGAGCTCCCTGCTGCCACAGGTCCCAGCAGCCCTGCCACAGCCCGTCGGGGCCAACCCAGGAACTGGGCTGATGCAACACCTGCTTTCTGCAGAAAAACATGGAAAGCAGACACTGTGGACGCAGCCCGATCTCCCGACACACAGTGAGGAGAAATTTGAAGGGAAAGACCCTGGCAGAGCATGGTTGTTGCCTGTGGGTTTAGCTATGGGCAGCCAAGGAAGACACTGTCAAGTGTAGATATAAAAATTCATTGTTTGTCTAATTAATGTCTTTTCAGCCTAATCAGAATACAACTTATTTAGTCCAGTTATTATATAGGTGCCTATAATCTAAATGACCTAATTATTGATGGGAATTAGCAAAACCTAAAATTATTACAGGCAAGTCTCCCAGAGATGCACCATGCTTTGGTGATGCTCCCTGGTCCTATGCAACGTTATGGAAGGCCATCAGCTTCTTAAATCCCTTAACTGGAGGACTATGATGATGATAGTGTGTGTTGGTGCGGGGGAATGGTCTTCCTCCGTGGTCTTGAGTTTGCTCAGAATTACTTCTCTGTGTCAGCCCCATATTTCTTCATGGATTACAGTCTTTTCTCTGTTGTTTGCCCACAAACTTATGTACACCATGATTCTTTCTCCTTATACAATATTACTTCTTTTAAGGGGGAGAGTCATGCAATTGGACAAAATAATTCAAAGTTCAAACTAAAACATGTTTGAGAATAATAGAGTTAAAAGAAACCACAGGATAGCTAGAGGCATTTGGATATTCAGTTATTCTGCTATTAGAGCTAGGAGAGGTTAGGCAATGGACCTCTGCTCCTTGGGAAAATCGTAGGCACAGGAAAGGCTCTTAAACACACAGTTCAAAATCACCCTAGAGCAGCTATTTATTGTTATAGAGCTTGAGGACTAGTGCTAGCATCATCAACAGCAATTTGGCTGGGCTACAGGGCCGCAAGCCAGGGGAAGAGTTGCCCTGACAACCCTGCGGTTTCCAGCAGTCCCAAGCTGCCCACGGCAGCGCCTCTGGGGGACAGAGCTGCCCAGGGGTGCGGAGGTAGCATTCGTGATGCTACCGTGCCTTCCTATCGGCGATGGGAGCAAGCACCGACCAGGGCTCAGGGAAATGATTTAGACCTCAGGGCTGTACAGGTACACTACATGGTGCCGGGCAGGGCCTCATGCCGTACCTGATGTCTGTGAAGAAACAATGGCCAGGGCAATCAACTTATCTGCAGACCTGCTCCAGAGCTGCAGCCACCAAGCTGGCTAGGTCTGGACAGATGAGCAGTGCCAGTGGACGGGTGTAGCTGAGCCTCTTGGGGCTTCCCAAGTGGAAGTAGTCTTATGTTCTCATTTACAGGAGCTAACTAGGCAGAATATTTCTCTCTCACTTACCACTTTACCTCTCCTACATCACTTTTTTGCTCTGTCCTTTAGGATTGCAATCCCGCAGTACTGTCCCAGTCTGTTACTTCGTTGGTTTTTTGCATTGCTTGTAGGGTACGTGTTCTAGGTGTTCTACCACATTGGTGAAGTGGTCTCAGCAATCTCCTCCTTCACTAACCATCACCTTCCCATGAAGGGTTGTGAATCAGCATTCCCTCAAATGAGGAGGATTTAGTCAGAGGAAAACAGAGAAATGTGGCCCAAATTCTGTCGTTGTTACATAAACCCCCTCAGTGAACATCTGGAGAACATCTGAAGTTTAACAAAGCAGACCCGCAGGCAGAGGCATTTTTGACCTTCCCTGTAATGGAAGCATAAAAATCGAGACTGAAAAGAGGGGAGTAAATATAACCAGAAATGGAAGATAAAATGGGTCCGGTGTATTAGGGTCAACTTTATCCTGAACACCCAACAAGGGCTCCCAAGATCCTGCCTGCACAGTGCGTGAGAGTTGGGGGAGACAAGGCAACACACTTAAATGCAAGGCGTTGGGCACTGCTGAAAAATCTCTGTTGGTCCTTGTCTTCTGGGGAAACCAGCTTGTCATCAGGCTCTGTTTAAAACTGCATTTCTTCTGGGTAAACTGGAATTTAAAAGGAATGTTTCGATTCTTCTCATGGGGAAAACTGACAAACACTCCAGAACTGAATCTTGGAAACTGACACTTTTTTGCTGGTTTGGGATTTTCTTCCCTTTTCAGTAAAG